GATGTGACCCCTTTTTTTTATTCGTAGATGGGAAACAAGGTCAGAGGCGTTTAAGGAGAGAGAAAGAGGGTGGAAAAACAGACGTTAAACTTCCAGACATCTCCACCTTCCCAGGCCCTGCGGAGTTAGGTCGGTCTCGGCAGCCAGGTGTTGTTAGCGGAGATCGATAGAATGACTGCAGGATGTTAGAAGGTTAGGGGTTAGAATGGGCCGATGCAAAAATAGCATTCCGCGAACAAAGCTGGCTCCCCGCGCCGAGCTCACGGGTTATAACGTGTACGCACGCACGTTTAGGCATACGCACATTTCCGCTTATAGGCATACGCTAGCACGCATCTATAAGTATACACACGTCCACAAGTAGACACAGACGCACACGCTAGATCTGACACATACATATGCTATATATGTATATATATATATATATATATATATATATATATATATATATATATATATATATATATATATATGTGTGTGTGTGTGTGTGTGTGTGTGTGTGTGTGTGTGTGTGTGTGTGTATTTATATATGAATATACATACATTCGTGGATACACACACGTATATATCTATCTATCTATCTGTCTAACTATCTATCAATCTATCTGTCTATCTATCTATCTGTCTGTCTGTCTGTCTATCTATCTATCTATCTATCTATCTATCAATCTATATATATCAAAGGCCATCATCACTCGATATCGACTACAGCAATATTGTCTCTACCCACTCCGTTATATGTAGAGTCAATGCCTGGGCGAAAGAATGTGAGGAGCAAGCTGTTGCCCCTTTAGCATGTATATATATATATGCACACACACACACACACACACACACACACACACACACACACACACACACACACACACACACACACACACACACACACACACACACACACACACACACAGACTAAGGAAGACAAGGACACATACAGCCATTCCACCCAAATTTCCGACTAAAAGCTCTGTCAGACAAGCACTCCGGGCGGCCGTACAGGAGAGATCTCTCGCACATAACGAGACTGACTCCCGCAGACTAGAAATAGCTTGCTGTCGCCCCCGTTCCCCGAGCTGAAAGGTGGGAAACGTCCCTCGCAAAAACGTTTTGGGTTTGAGATTTGCAACCGTCGTGGATCTGTGTCTGAGCGTATTATACTGTGAAAAATGGGTAAGAAATTGAACGGGTTGGCATTCATTTTATCTTTTATTGGCTGAGAAAGAATATTTTGATGTGTAAGTTAAAGTTGGCAAAGTATAGACAAAATAATGCCAGAGACAATTCAGAAATCAACATGAATGAATGACAAAGGAGTAAAGATGAATAACCAGTAAAGAGAAGATAGACATGGAGAGAGATAAGGGAGAAGAGACAGGAGAGAAAAATGTAATACAAAGTGACACGAAATTCCAGCCCTTTTGCTTGCTAACCCTCCGTCAGAAGCCACTGATATGTGCGTATGTGTACGAGTGTGAGCGTGTGCGTCTGTGTGCGTAATGTCGCCAGTTCCAGAAAGGCATGTTAGAGCCGATGACGTCATAAGCTCTCCCCTCTACCCCTCCTCCCCTCACCCCCCGCTTTGCCCATCAGGAGGCGGCAGAGTTAGGGAAACCGGGTGGGGGGGGAGGGGGGTTGAGGGAACCGGGGTAGGGGGGAGGGGGAAGCGAGTGTATTGGAAGGGCTGTGTCTAAAAATAAGTGCAATTGGTATGTAAATATAAATTGGCCAGATTAGGAAAGGCTGTGGCGATATTTATCTCAAAGTTTCCCCCCCCTCCCCAATCTCCATTTTACGTTAAATGGAAGACAATTTTTTTTGCGTGTAAATAATGGGCCTTGTAAATGGTATGTCTTTATCATTAGTGAAGGGGTGGATCTGCTTCTGTGTTATATCCTTTCTCCCTCCTCCTCTCCCTTCCACTGTTATTTTCCCCTTCCCTTGTCATCTCTTCCCCTTTCCTGTTCCTTTTCTTTTTCCTTCCCCCCCTCTCTTCATTTCCCTTCACTTCCCCTTTCCTGCTATCTGTTCTCTCCGCTTCCCCCTCTATCCTCTCCCTTTTACTCCCTTCCTTTCCTTCCCCTTCACTCCTCTACTCCCTTTCCCCTCCTCTCTCTTCCTTCTCCTATCCTCCCTCTTCCTCCCCATCCATTATGCACGTGGTAGGGAAAGGGAGAGGAATGAGATGGAGAGAGGAAAGGGAGAAAGGGAGAAAGGGGAGAGGATAGGGAAAGGGCAAGAAAGGGGGAGGGAAGGAGGGAAAGGAGGAGAGTAGGAGGGAGGGAGGGAAGGAAGGAGGGACGAAGAGGGAGGGAAGTGCACAAGGAGGAAGGGAAGTAGGGTAGGGGAGAAATGGAGTGGGGGAAGAGGAAGAGGAAGCAGGGGAGACTAAGGCATGGGAGGGAAGTGGAGGAAAGGGAGTGTGGGGAAGGGTAGGGGAAAGGAGAAAGGGAGTGGGGAAAGAGAGTACACATGAAAGACCAGGGTAGGGGAAGAGAAGTGGGAAAGAGGGAGAGAGCAGGGGAAGGGAGAAAGAGAGTGGGGAAAGGGAATGAGTGG